TTCTTTTGAAGTTGATATGTAATTTTTACAATATAAGAATTTTATATGTTATAGATAGTTTAGTAAAGAAAGACTATATTTCTTAGAAGATAGTTAACCAAAATGAGCTAAGTCAAGATATCAATTTCCTTACATAGAGAGAAATTTATTAATAAATTACATAGAAAAAAAAACCAAGATGTTGTAAATGATTACAAATGCATATAAATATAATTAATAATAATTAAAATTTTAAAGTTTAATTGAAAAGTAAGGGATGTCTAAGCATAAGAGAATTCAAGTGCTTTTATTGTATGTCTTATACTTAAAAATGAGATTAATTTATAGGATATATATATTCAACGAGATAAAAATAAGATTGATAAGTAGTACTTGCACATCACAAGATGAGTGATTCATATCTAGATTAATGTTTTCTTTCTTCTCGATGTGTTGCATTTAATTGATATAGTTATGACTCATAATTGTTTCTAGACATTGCATGGTTTATTGTTATAAAATCATAATTGCAAATAGTTGATAATGATTATTTGTCCAAATGCAAAATGATTCTTCATATTGACACAAATGAAATATTGGCCTCCATATTATACTACAACTGTTTATATTGTATTATAAAATATTTTCTCATAAAAATATGCTAAGAAAAATGGAAATGAAGTGATATACATGTGTACATGTGTATGTTAAATGATAGAGTTCACCCCCGTTATTATATTACTAAGAATGTTAACAAACTTGCATATCAATAACTTTTATTTTTCCACCTTAACTAAATAGTAGATTTATGAGCAACACCCCATTATGAAATTAGCTTGAGAGCAACTAGTTTGCTTGAGAGACTACATCTTATTAGTAAAACCAAGCTTCCTGACATTCACACTCAACCAAAAGGCTTAGGATTTCTTAGAGAGCTCAGGAATTTGCTTTAAGTTCCTAAAGTTATTAGGAATAAATAATAGATAAATTATGAACAACTTCCCTTACTTACCATTAATCTGGCCTCCAAATCCTTCTTTGACTACCACTAAGATTAAGGTTAGCTGCTAGGGAGTGCAAGGTGGATGGACGAGATGAACCTAATCGCCATAAAGTAGATGGAAGTGGTGTAGTACTTTAGTAATCGCCTTAATTTAAGCTATGATCCTAGATTAATTATCCTAAACTTAGGTTTAAGACTTTGGGTTAAACTTAGCCAACAAATTGTTATTAAGTTCAGGACTTAAGTAGCAAAGTGAATGATTATATTAAACTAATTTTCATTAGATCGAGCCATAGGTTCATTTGGATGCTATTGGTTCAACTTGTTTAATTTTGGTCTCAATGTCAAAATGGATTAATCTATATGTCAATTAAGCTTTACAAAGGTGTGGTTAACCAAGTTAAATTTGGTCAAATTGATCAAAATGTGGTTCATATTGAGTTCATATGGATTTAAGTTGGGCTACCCTAGGTTATATATCCAATTTGGGTTAGCCCATGTTCTATTTCTATTGTGAACCTATTAGGATCATTTGCATAACTTGGTTCAAGCTAAATATAGTCAAATCAGCCAAAATGAACTAAGATGTTCAAATGGATTAACTTTAATTTAACGAGTCAATTATCCTAGCCAAGGGCCAATCCAGCTTAGTTCACCTATGGTTGACATAGTTACATCAAATGGAAGGTTTAGGTCCAATTAGTTTGTTCAATTTAAAGGTTTAGTTCTATTTAATCTAAATATGTCAACTTGGGTTAGATAGAGTTCAATCTTGATCTAGAATAATACAAGAATCAATATGGCTCAATTAAGTCGCACATAGATTATTGGGACCTGGTGGGATCAATGATCAAGATTAGTAGCATCAATTATAATATTTGGGTAATATTAGGTCAATTAGATTCAACTTGGACTAGCTAGGATTCTAGCTTGATCTTGATTAGTCTAGTGGCCAATTTCAGTGATCTAATGTTCGATTATGATCAATTCAAACATGATTGAATCATTAGAGAAAGAATTTGAAAGCTTTAATGACTAATTGATATATTGGGCTCAATTAGGATTAAGTTTAGGTCAAAAATAGAGTTGAATATGATCAGTTGGGATATATTGATTGATCCGAAGAAAGAAATTAGATATTCATGGTAGCCCCTTTTTATTGATGAGATTAAATTGATCATATGGTCAATTTAAGGTTGATCCAAATTAGCTTAGTTCATGAGCTAGGTTAAAATCCTAGCTAAACTAGCTAGGGTGTCAACCTAGTAATGACTCACAAAATGAAATTGAACTTATCAAAAAGAAATTGATGATGAAAGATCTTGATCAAGCAAATCATACCTAAGTTTAAACTTCAGAGTTGCTTGGATCATCTTTAACTTGAGCTAATAGATCAAGTAAATAGATATTAGACTTAAGTTTAGTTTGGGACGACATTATTACTGCTTTTTAAAATAGCTTTTGTATAAAAATTATAATTTTTGTACTATAAAGTTGATTTAAGAAGCAACAAAAAAGTTGTTCCAAACGAAGTCTTAATCAAGTCCAAATGGTCAAGATTAAGAATGGTTGACTTAATCAAAAAAATGAGAAGCAACTTTAATTGAACAAACCCATGTATTAAATGGCATTTTGATTTTTGAGAAGTTGATGCCAACAAATCCCTCATATTAGACCAAATACTTAACAAACTTTTGTATTATTTTGTTCATTATCATACCCTAGATGATTGGAATACCTTTTCTTTAATTGTTAGGTTGGCAAGTCTTATCTATCAAATAATAATAATTATCCCCATCTTAAAATTATAACAATGTTATGATGAAACATTTTGAAACAATTAGGTGAGTCTAATTGGTTATTTATTTTATGGGGGTTAAGTTGTAAGATCATAGGTTGGTCTTTGTTTCCTCTTTAAAGTTAAAATTATAAATCTCATCATGATCACCTAAATTGCACAAGATTTAGGTAGAGGGCCCCATTTTAATGACATTTTAAGGCTATCTAAAATTTAGGTTTGAAGCTAATGCTTTTAATTGTCATGCTTCATGTCCTAATCCCAGGCATCTGTCCAATGGTGAAGTCATCATTGATAGGATATAATAAGTTTTGCTATAGTAATTTGATCCTTTATATATATATATATATATATATATATAATTGAAGTGGTATGTAAACTTATCAACAATTAATAATTTAATAAAAAACTTATCCACAAAATATTGAAGTTTGTACGCAAATGAGCTGCGAAAGATAATATATTAATATGGGCTCTACGTATGCTTATAGGTATACGTAGGACCGTAGCTGATAATTTCTCCATCGATCAAGTTTGTCGCTTCCGGTTGAGAAAGTACAGCAGCAGCCATGGCCGGCGGATTCAAGCTCGAACAGCAGCATGGCAAGGGTAGGGTTAGGGTTTCAAGGGTTTGGAGAAAGGCCGGCGAAGGTGGAGCTGATGTCATCGTTGAGTGGAACGTTAGCATCTCCCTTCTCTCCGATTGCCTTGAAGCCTACACCGACGGCGACAACTCCTCCATCGTCGCCACTGATACCATGAAAAACACTGTAAATTCTCTTCCTTTGTTGAGTTTCTACGTATTTTTCAGCCTTTCGATGGAGCTTTCTGCTGTAAACTAATAAATTTCAAACTATTGCGGTTCGGAAGGTTTATGCTAAAGCAAAGGAGTGTACGGAAGTTGAATCCCCGGAGAGTTTCGCGATCCGCCTGGCGAAACACTTTACGAGCTTCTATCCGAAGGTAATTTCTGCTTGTCTCTGCTGAGGGGCTTGTTTTTGGTGTTTTTTCGTATTTTTTTCCTTTGAATGATCTGTTGTGAATGAAAGGGTGTGATAGTAGGTGACAACTGCTATTATTTCCATAGTGGAGAAACCATGGGAGCAGGTTGTTGTGGATGGCCGGCCACATGCACATGGTCAGTGCATTCCATCTTCTTTGATTTTTTTTGTTTGTTTTTCTTCTATTTTGCACTATTTTCTCATCAAACTTTGAGATGTAGTGGATTTTGCGAAGCTAGCGAAATTAGAACATGGAAGGCAACACAAGTTGAAGAGCAATGCTTCATTGCCTAACTCATGGTCAGAATTAGTCTCCATTAGCCTTGGAGGTTTCTTTTGGTCTAAAGTTGAAAAAAAAAAAGATAAATCGAGTTGCCCAGAATCAAATTCATTCTAACAGTGTTTCTTCGAAACATTGGCAAAGTAAATAAATAAATAAAAAATCGGTTTATGTTTCTCGCTTTAGATGAAACATAACTGAATCAGCCTGTTTAATGGGCTATTGGATACGTGCTCAAGAAGTAAACAAAAGAAATGTAGCCCATGACATAACATATTACTGATAGCTTGACAACAGTTGACCAAACAGAATAAAAATATTTGACGCATCCTATTCAAGGTAATGCTTATGATGGGCAATAGTAAACATTGATCCAGGAGAAGCAAATAGCAAATTAAGAGCTATATTCAAAAACACACAGATGATGCTTAAGATTTAATAAAGAGATTAACCTCGGGGAAGATTAAATTGGAGCATGAAAATATATAAAATATTATTCTCAAGTTGCTCTTGGTTAATTACAAGTTACCTATGCCTCCCCTTACATAGAGGAATTATAGCTGACATATATTAAAGAATATCTAAAAAAATTGATCAAATAAAATCAAATTCATTACTCCTTAATGCTAAATTCCTAGAGATCACCAAGCATGCTTTCTAAAACATGACGGTCGCTTGTCCCCAATTTTTTTGTTGTAGTGTTTGTAGCATTAAATATACAAATTAAAAGTGTTTTTTCTTGGCTTCTTTTCAAACACCCTTGGTGTTTTTAATGGAAGAAAACACCTTCTTATCAACTATATAAGTAATAAAATAATAAGCAATCATAGAATAGTCTCAATACCATATCTCTTAACTGGCTTATTCTTTTGCATGCTCCCCATAATTTAAATTGTTGATTAAATTTCAATCTAGCATTTGACGGTCATTCATTTTCAACAACAATTTGTTTACCCTCTGAATTGGAATTATGAACACCGTACTTCCAAGAACTTTTTTGAAAGGTTAAGAAGGGGATGTCGTTGAACCTTGGGTTATCCTTGTAGTTGAAGGTTGAACAAAGTAGAGATGTCAGTAATGGAAGAACATATTTTACTTATGGTGAAATTCTCTTATCAAACACAACATATCAAGAGATTTTAACCTGCATAGTAAGTAAGCGTGAATCTAAAGGTAATTAATTGCCTACCCTGTAAATTAAATTCTCTTTAATATCTTAAAGGCTTTTGCTAATTTTGCCCCCTTCATTCAATCAATTTTCCCTTCACACTGCACTTGTAACTGCCCAATGCCTTTTATGCTGCTATTTCTCTCTTCCTAGGTTTCATGATTCAACTCTCCTTCTCTCCCCTCTCCTTACGTCGACGGTGATGCCCACACCTCTCCATCTCTCCCAATTTCAACAGTTATTGTCTGCACAACTCTTACTTGCTCCTGACTCAACGGTGATCCCTGCACCTCTCCCCACTCCCCAACTTCGATGGCTGATGCTTTCACATTTGTCCCTCTCTCCGAACACCAATGGCGATGCCTGCACCTCCCTACCTCTCTCCCAACTCTGACAACTAATGCTTGCATGCCTCTGCTTCTTTCCCTCTCTTCTGATACCAATGGCCGACTTAGGGTGAGCTTTAGTATTTCTAGAAAAAATGATTCTCTTTATTTTTATCAGTTAATTTTTGTAATTTAAATAAAAAACATGGATTTTGTGGTTGTTCAATGATATTCTTTCATTTGTTCCATTTCGTGTTGATGCATCAGCTCAAAAATAAATTCATATACATGGGTTCTTTGGGTAGTCATAAAATTAGAAGAAGTAACACTAGCTAATGCACATTCATTTCTTTATTGGTATACATTTAAGGTCATAACTATAGATTTCCTTATGGTTAGAAAATCTTGACCAATTATTGCAAATAGATTGAGGTTCAATATTTTTTAAAAGCGGCAGTATGTCAATGTGCTGACACATTTGGTTAGTTGATTATGGTTTATTCTAGATGTTCACTTTGATGTGAACTAAGTGAAACACTTTGAATCTCCTGAAATATACTTGACCGATTATGCGCCTTCATTTTTATATTGTTGTTTGCCCCTACTTGCATTTACTTGTCCCAAAACATCAATTGCATTGTATAATGGTTTACCATTTAGTTTTTTTGAGTATTATTTCATTTACACGATAAGTTGCCTACCCTCAAAAAAGACTATTTTTGCCCCTAATTGTAAGTACATCAATACACCTCTAAATCTTCTCAAACTCATCATGGCGACAAAAAATACACCTGAAAGACTTCTTACCAAGCTTTTGAGATAAACCATCAGAATTAGACGCAACTTACACTACATTAAATACTCATAGTTAAGAAATATTTAGCTTCTTCCCAAACAATTTTCTATATGGATAAACATTCTCAGCACTTCTAAGTGAAGTTCGATTGTTGACAGACAACAATTTGCACGCACAATCAACCTAAAACTTATGCTTAAACTTCTTAGTTTGAAACATGCTTCCAATTGTTTAGAAATTATCATTTCTTCCTTTCAGCTATTTCCTTTTGTTTTGAAGTACTAGGGCAAATAAATTCTCTATGAATTCCACAGTCTGTTAGTAAATCAGGAAATTTATTAGGCATATAATCTCCACCATCATTAGATTTTAAATATGAGATTTTAGAATGCAATAAAATTCTCAATTGAAGTTTTGAATTGACAAAATGTTAGAAGAATTTTGTATTTGTGCTTGAAGTAAATTATGGTATATCTCAAAATCATCAATAAAAATAGTTGCATACTGTTTGCAAGTACAAGAAAAATGTGAACTTTTTTGATATATTTGAGTGAATCAATTACAACAGTTGAGTAGAGATCTAATCCAACTTTCTTTGAAAGGATGTTTGTGCATCTTTCTATATTGGAAACTAATACATAAAACTTTACCATTCATCTTTAGCTGAGGAAGGTCATCAAATAGATTTTGCATTCCATTTCACAATGCTTGTCATAATTTATAGGTGCCAATCTTTCATTTCATATATTTTTAGTGTTATGTTCAACATAAGAACTCTTAAGGGCTAACATAGAACTTATATTCTTTTCTTATTTTAGTGATAAGTTAACTTAAACATTAGCATTGGAAAAAACATTGCAGGAGCTGTTACTTGTGTTGAAAAACAAGGAGGTTGGATCAAGTATTTTCCTATTTTAGTTGGATTACATCAATGATCAACTTTAAGCCCATATCTTTTTGCTTTAGTCATGGATGTTCTTACTAGACATTTTTAGGAGAATGTACCCTGGTGTATGCTTTTTACTGATAAAATTCTTCTTGTTGATAAGACTAGAGAGAGTTGAAGGTAAACTTGAATTGTGGAGGTTAACCTTAGAGCCTAAAATTTTTTGTTTGAGTAGATCTAAAACCGAATACATTGAGTGTAATTTTAGTAGTAATAGATCTAATGGGGGGATTGCGACTTTGGACGATCAAGTCATTAATAAGAGAACACCACTTAGATATCCCAGGTCTATTGTATAGAGTGATGGTGAAATAGATGGGGATATTATTAATAGCATTCACGTTGGATGGTTGAAGTGGAGGAATGCATTGGGCGTATTGTGTGATAGAAGATTATCCATCAAACTTAAGGAAAAATTTTATAAGATGGTGGTGAGACCTACAATGCTTTATGTTGTAGGTTTTTGGCCATTAAAAGTGAAGCATACAATTAATTTAAGTGTTGTAGAGATGAGGATGCTCGGGTGGATGAGTGGCTTTACTCTTAGAGAGAAAGTAAAACGAGCATATATATGAAAAGGTTGGAGTAACTCTAATGGCATATAATATTAGAGAGATCTGCTTAGATGGGTTGGTAACATAAAACATCAGCTTTCTGATGACCCGGTTAGGAGAGTAGATGTATTAGATTTGACCAATGTTAAGAGAGACAGAGGTAGACCTAAAAAGACTTGCCTCAGCAAAATTCGGCCCTTAACACGGTCAGGCTGGCGCTTCGTCCGTGTTCTGCGAGGTGTATGCCTCAAATCAGCGGAGGCACGCCTCGCCTCTCTTTAGCGAGGCGTTCGCTTTAAAAATGTTTATATTTAAAACCTAAATCTAATATCGATGCTTTCATTCATTCCTTTCGTTCATGCGCTTTGACTTCCTGCATTCGTGCGCTTGACTTCAGTTGATTCGACCTCTTCAACTTCGCCTAAAGCACAACAGGTAGAGCTTTGGACATTCACTAAAATCTTCCTTGCCTTACTATACGATGTTCTAAAAGCTTCATTGCCTTCTTCGAACGTGGTCTTCGACTTCCCTGCATTCATGTGCTTCGACTTCGGCTCCATTCGGCCTCTTTGACTTTGCCTAAAGAAGGACAGGTTGTCTACCAGTCATATTGTCTTGTTCACAACTCATTTAGATTTAGATTCTTTTATTATTTGAAAGACTAATGTTTGTTACAATTATCGTAGTTTATCAATGTAGTTTCTTCTACATAACTGCAATCCACATAGCTAACGAATTTCGTGGCAAAATTATTGTCATTTCTTGTATACACACATGAACACGAGCATGATTTATCTATGAACTGGATTTCTAGTTTTTTTTTTTTAATTTATAAATTTTGTTTATTTGATGTGTTTTTTAACTATTTTTATTTTTAAAATAATCAAATTAATTTTTAGATGTATTGAGGGTATTTGAAAAAAATTATTATTGCTAACCCAATTTTATCTGCTATTATTGTTGTTATCACCGTTCAATCGTTGTTGTCTTTTTGATGATCATCGTTCTCTTCTTTTAAGAGATCAAATATGTTTTATTTTATTTTAACAATAATAAGTAGTTGAATT